TAGGCAGAAAGGGGGATAAGTGTTTTTCCCTAATACTGACATAACAGCAGGAGGTTCCAGCTGTACATGAGGCCAGATGGGCTAAAGTCCTTATGGCAGGTTTTTTGAGATACACCTGGATCTTTCTGGCAAATCCCTCTTTTTACTGGAGGAAGTTTTAATCTCTGGAAACAAATGAGTAAGATAGACAAAGTCTCTGTAGTGACAGAAGAACTGTGAGTCAAGGAAGCCTGGGAGACAGCAACAGCCAAAGTCAGGTAGAAGAAATGGAGAAAAAAACTAGACAAAGCAAAAAAAGAGCTCTGGAGACACAGGAGAAAATATACTTCAGATTTCGAGTGAGTTTTAAGAAGAAGGTTGCCGCAGTACTGAGTGTAATGAGGAATGCCCAACTACAGTTAAGTGTTGACAAAGGCTCTTTGGGATTCACAGCATGGATGTCACCGATGGCCTTCAGGACAGCAGTTACAGGGGACTGTGAGGAGCTAGATTGTCTTAGGGTGAAGAATAATGTTAGCAAGTGGAGAAAAGGAATGAAGGTAACTAGGCTGATGAGAACAAAAGAGAAGATAGTTGCTAAAGAGGTCATCATCTCAGGGATCTTTTTTTTTTTTTTTGAGACAGAGTCTAGCTTTGTTGTCCAGGCTAGAGTGAGTGCCGTGGCGTCAGCCTGGCTCACAGCAACCTCAAACTCCTGGGCTCGAGCGATCCTTCTGCCTCAGCCTCCCGAGTAGCTGGGACTACAGGCATGAGCCACCATGCCCGGCTAATTTTTATATATATATCAGATGGCCAATTAATTTCTTTCTATTTATAGTAGAGACGGGGTCTCACTCTTGCTCAGGCTGGTTTTGAACTCTTGACCTTGAGCAATCCGCCCGCCTCGGCCTCCCAAGAGCTAGGATTACAGGCGTGAGCCACAGCGCCCGGCCTCAGGGATCTTTTTATTGGAACAATATTTAGAGGCGTAGAGACAAGGTGTGCTGTGTGGGCGAGAGTATCTACAACCTTCCACCAGAGAAGGCTGGAAGACCTTTTTGGGAGATGGAGCTTTCTGTTACAGGGAGATTCACCAAAGACTTTGAGACTGAGAGTGTCAGGATACCATGGAACTGATTTCTAAGTGGACAGTTGGAAAGTGTGTATTCAAAGTCTTTGCAAGTCTGAAAAGGCCTTTATTTTATGGTCATGCTTGAATCATCTTTTGGCTGTGGAATTCTCCCTTGGAATTCTGTAAACATCACTCCATTGTGTTTTCTTGGCATTTAGTTTGCAAACGAGAGGGCGATGCCAGTGGATTTCTTTGCTCTTGGCTGGTCCCTGATTTTTTAGGGGGTGTCTTTTATGGGTAACAGTGAGGGGAGTAGAGGAGTGGTCTGCAAGCTTGTAGGATTTCTTGTAGGACTTTTATTTGTCATTTATAGATTTCATCAGATGCTTTTCTCAGTATTCCTGCCCAACAGTCTTTAGGTCCTTTAAATATGAAATCTAGATTTTCTTCAGCTGAGAAAAATTTTTTCTTATTACTTCTTTGATCATTCCTTCTTTATTTGTTTTCTTTCTTTGTTTTTTTGGAAGTCTTATCATATAGAAATTAGTTATCATATATCATTCTTCCTATTTCTTAACTTTCTTTTATAATCTCTGTCTCTCTCTTTTTTGGGATATTTCTTAAATTGGTTTTATATTTCACAGATTATAAGTTTGGTTTTTGGCATATTATTGTGCTACTTAAGGCCTCTACTCTTTTTTTAAATTTTGTTTTGGCACTCATGCTTTTATTTTAAAAACCTTTTTGTTCTCTTATTACCCCTTTACTTTTATGCAACGTCTTCCTGAAGGTCATGGTATCCTGTGAGATTTAAATAAAATGTCTAACTCTCAGTCCTATTCCTGATGGGAAATTTATTGCTACCCCTAACATTGATTTTTGTTTCTTTTTGATTCTGAGAAATTTTGTACTTGGTCCCTTCTAGGTTCTTTTTTTTTTTTTTTTTGGCCTGCATCTCCTGATTTCTCCCCTTCTTACAGCCCATCATGCCCCAGATATGGAATACACTCTCTCCCCTAATGGTGTTCCTAGCATTTACCTTGTGTGGGGCTCACTTTGCTGAAGGTCTGACGTGGTGAAGGAGGTGGCACCCCAGCCCTCCAGAGAGCATCTACCTGGTCTTAAAAGTCCTCCATCTGCCCCATCACCTGTCTCATCAGGGGCCCTCTCCTTCCATGTTGAGAAGTGCCTCTCTTCTCTGCCTTTCTTATCTTCTTGTTTGTTCTCAGACTGAACTCCCTTTACCTGAATTCTAAAGTCTTCTTTGTTTCTTGATGTGTACTTAAGTCAAAAAAATGTTGCTAAGCCGGGTGGTGGTTCACACCTGTAATCCCAGCACCCTGGGAGAGGCCAAGGTGGGAGGATCACTTGAGCTCAGGAGTTTGAGACCAGCCTGAGCAAGAGTGAGACCCCATTTCCACCAAAAAATAGAAAAAATTAGCTGGGCATGGTGGCATGTGTTTGTAGTCCCAGCTACTCGGGAGGCTGAGGCAAGAGGATCACTTGAGCCCAGGAGTTTGGGGTTGCAGTGAGCTATGCTGACACTGCTGGACTCTAGCTGGCGGACAGAGTGAGACTCTGTCTGAAAAAAAAAAAAAGATGTTGCCACACTTGTTCTCTCCTTAAAATAATTCAGGTTCCTGCTATTAAAGTGACAATCTTCAAGCCTTGATACACTAATTAAAAATACTTTTGAAAATTTTTCGTTGTTTACTTTATTAAATCCAGTTTGGGGAGAGATAGTTTTGCCCTGGTTGTTCAAGTTGTTATTATTTCTGGTAGCTAATTTTCTTTGCATGTCTAATGATTCTCCTATAAGAGAAAATAGATGGCTGTTATTTCTAAACAGAGGTCTATGTTCCTCAGCATTGGCAAATGATGTGGATTCCCTCAGCTCTTGTGTATGTCAGAGGTTGGTTACTGCTGGTGGTTTCCTACTTCCTTTTCCAAAGTGAGGCGTATGTAGAATTTATTACACATGTAATAAATATGAAATCTGCAGCAATAAAATATCAACTTTAGAGAGTGCTGTTCTAATATGAATTAACTATTGCTTGTCTCTCAGATACTTGCTTCACCCTTAGCCAGGAGTAAATAACAGACTCATTACTGTCTGTTTTCCTTTGTTTACCTGATTTGGATTCCCTTTGTATGCACTTAGTCCTCATACCATACTTTTGCGTACTAGTCCACTTGGGCTTTTCCATATATTTGCATTAGGGCAGATAAACCAATCACTAAAATTCTTAGTGATGTGGTATACAATTGGTTGATGTCTAGTTAACTGATTGCATGCTAAAGAACTCTGAAAAAATGCCTAATACAAAAGCCTATGATATTGTAACAGGAACTCTTTTACATTTGTTGCTGGGAATATAAATTGGTACAACTGCTTTAGAAAATTGGTTGACAGTACCTGTCAAAGCTAAATGTACATATACTATTTGACCCAGAAATTTCACCCCTGGGTATATTCCCAACATAAATGAGTGCTTACATCCACCAAAAGTTATATGCAAGAACGTTCATGGTATATTTAATCATAATAGCCATCAGCAAGGAACAGCCTCAAATATTTAACAATAGGGGAATAGATAAATACAATGTAGTATATTTATAAAATGGAATACTATATATAAACGAAAAGGAAAAAGTTACTGCTATGTGTAACAATACAGACAAATCTCACAGTCATATGCTGGGAGAAAGAGGCCTGCCACAAAAGACTATATGACTGCATGTTTCCATTTATATAAAATTCAAGAGTAGGCGTACCCAACCAGGGGTGACAGAGATTAGAAGAGTAGTAACCATGTAGTGGATATTGACTGGTTAGGAAATTTGCTAGAGTCTTAGAAATGTTCTATATCTTGATGTAGAAGGTAGTTATATGGATATATACTTATGTAAAAAATCACAGAGCAATTCAAGATTAGCGTACCTTTCTCTAGGTAAGTTATACCTCAATTAAAAAAATATTATGTGATATTTTCTAGAACTAGGGAAGGAAGAATTTGAGAGACCTCTTTATTTGGAGAGGAAGAGGAACTTTTGGAGCCAGGTGTTACCTAGAAGAATTGTCTTACATAGAAGTCCTTTCTTCCTTTATCCTACTAACAGTCATTTCTCTAGAATAGATGTGGTTATAACTCTTGTTATTGAGTCGTTTTCTACACACCATTTTAAGAATTGTGGTAAATAGAAATCCAAAGCCACATTCTCAGTGCTCTAGAAACTTACAATCTAGAGAGACAAGACTTACATAAATAAAATATTTAGATAACTGTTATTTTTTTTAAGTGCAAATTTCGAGGCACAGAATTCTCCAGGAGAAAGAGAACTCCCGAGAAATGGAGTAACTGCTTTTAATGAAGGAGGAAGGACTTAAGGTGAGATTTTGAAAATAGATGGGCAAGCAAATGCCAACTAGCTCTTTACCCTCCTGCATTGGTTTACAGAACCATAGAAGACCTGCTTGCTAGAGTTGACATAGTGACCAGGAAAAGAAAACATGCTTGTCAAATGGGAAAAATAAAAAGAGGCATACAGACTTTTCAGAAGATTCAGGTTTGGACTCTAAACTGCCACTGGTCCAAGACTGCATGGCTGGGACGACAGAAATACAGTCAGGGGAATGAAGGGATTGGGAAAGAATGAGGCCAGAACTGAACTGTACAGTGCAATGTGAAATATTCTACAGAGGTCCTTTCTTTTATAATAGAGCAATTATTATTGTTGCATTATAAAGAAAACCAAAGTGTGTGTTTATGACAGGCTGACTCATTTTTAGAAGAAGACACAAAGTTGGGGGATGATATATTAAGTTCTCCTTCATGTTTTCTCCTCGTACACCACATTTATTGTCTGCAAAACACACACACACACATACACACACACGCACACGCACGCACACGCACACGCGCACACACACACACACACACACACACATCATACTCCAGTGCAGGTGGGGATTCAGAGTTTATCTACAGTGCACTATCCACTCTCTGGGCTCTGTGGGTGGAGCTAGGAGGGAAATAGAAAGGTTGGCAGATGTATGAGGACAACTGAAATTCATATCAGCTGGCTGAGAGTTCATGTCACCAGAGTTCTGACTCGCTTGCTGTGCTCTTGCCTGCTGTGCTCTCGTAATTGATTTTGAAAAGGTTTTCTGGCTACAACAAAATCTGATTAAATTAGTTATCAAGCAAATTGAATTGTTCAAGCTGCAGCCATTCTAGAAGTTCTAAACATCATTTAAAAGAAGATTTCAACCTCATTCCACTTCAGCCTTCTCTAAGGAGCTGCTCTTGTGCTGTTTGGCCCCTTCTCACCTGGAATGGAGCAAAGGTAAGGTTTACATTGTTTTTCTGCTAAATTTAGGATCTATATCTAGGGGAGAAGGGGAGAGTCCCCTTTCCCTCTGAAGGTTCACTGAAAAATCAACTCACAAAGAGAAGATTAATAGAAGAAAAGGTGTACAAATCTATTTAATGTGTACACGCAGAAACCTTTAGCACGAAGGCCCCAAAACACAGGGGAAATGGTCTATTTTTATGTCTAGGTTCAAGAAAATAGAGATAGCTGTGTAGAAATATGATCGTTAGACAAAAAGGGTATGATCTAATGCTGATAGGGGTCTTATGATCTACAGTTAAACAAGAGAGGTCAGATAATTTCTTTATGGCCAGATTTTACACAGAAAGGCAGAGGGAAAATTAGAGTGATAATTTCAGGTTTTATGGCTGATTTGGGGCAAAAAGGTTCTGGTTTCAACAACCCACCTTGGGGAAGAAGGATTCTGGTTTTTATGGCCAGCCTTGGGGAGAATGGAACTGAGAGGCAGGAGGGCAGAGAAAATTTTTTGCTTCTGAGGCTGCTTCTGAGGCCTTCATCTTGGAGTATTGTTTTCTGAGCCCCAACACATATTTCTGGTTGTTTGTCTTCACTTCCTCTATAACTAGGTACAAGAACTGAGAGTTCTTGCGAGGCGATGGGGCAGGATACATGATCTTAACACAATTTTTGAATATACATTATTGACCATCTCAGGAAAATCTGATTTACAATTCACTAATTATTTGGGTGTAGTGTAGAGCTTTTGTCCCTCTGCCCTGCTTGCCCTTGATATTCTACCTGCTTGAGTCCTCTCTTTCCAACCCCTGTCCACTTTTCCCACCCCTCTCAGTGACATCTCCTTTTCTGTAGACTTCCCTTATTTTTTCCCTGGCTGCCAGCAGATCTTCTTGTTTTTGGAATTTTCCTACTGTCAATATATTCCTTACTGCCGTGCTCGGGGCTCCAAAAGCTTTAGGACCCAGGGAGGCAATAAAGAATTGGGCCTGAAGGGAGGACTCACGGTTTGGACGCAGGGGTGCTCTGGATTTAGAGGTACACTGAGTTCATGGCTCCAAAGCGCAGTCAGTCTTAAATTAAAGCTCCTATCAGTAAAACGTTGAGTACTTCATGGGGCAAATAAAAATTTCGTGGACTGAGTTAGAATTTATTTGCCATTCGCAACTTCTTTCCTATGAAGAAACATCAACTGCAATATAAAAACAAACATTTAGACCACTACCTAGTCATAAATTGGTGGTGCTTTGTGTAGTACACTTAACTTTTAAAATATCATTGTAACATTTTGCTAAGTTCTAGCTCTCAGGTAAAACATGAAGCTTTTCTATAGATATTTTAGGAATGGTGACATACTTAAATTCCAGGTTCATAAAAAGGGTTTTGTAAGAAGCACTGTTGGCCATTAATTGCAATGTTTATTTATTCTTTAAACAAATATTTGTTGAAATCCTGTGTGCTAGGCTGTGGGAGTGCAATGGCAAACTTATGCAAGTGTGGTTCCTTCCCTTGTGTGATTTGCAGCTTTCTAGGGGATACAGATGTTAATTAATCAACCTCAAAATTAAAAATAAAATTACAAGTTCAAGAGTCAGGTGGAAGAAAAGTACATGGTGCCATAAGTCTGTGTCTTAGTGGGATTTGACCTTGTTTGGGGAGTCAGGGAAGACTTCCTAGCAGAGATGATGATTGAACTGAGACCCAGAGGATTAGGAGAGTCAAATCTGTGAAGAAGGATCAAAGAAGATTATTCCGGATATAGGGTTGTACTTTAAAGACATGAAAGAAAATCAGATGTCCTTAGGAGGAAGAGCATAGCACAAAATAAGTGGAGGAGGGATCATCCAGTTTATTATAATTATTAAAGTGGATTTTATATTATTATAAAATATAATATATAATGGATACATATAATATAAAATATAATATATAGTGGATTTATATTATTATAGTGGATATTATAATTATTATAATGGAAGAGTACAGGTGACTTTGGATGATATTTGCAAATTTCTGTGAATCTATGATTATTTCCACGTAAAAAATTTTAAAAAGTTAATGAGAAAGAGAATGAGAAATATGAAATTTACAGTGGAAAAGATGCCCTGGAGTAAGATCTTTTTCTTTAGTATTTTGTCCTCCAAGTGCAGCTTAATTATTACTATCATCATCATTGTTACTCACGCAGTGGATGGGATTTCTCTTCTAAACATAAAACTCAGAACCCCCAGAACTTGTCTCTGGAAGAAGCTTTCCAGGGGTAGTTTGGTTTGCTTAAAAAGCCAAACGTGTTTGCAGTAGGACCTTCCTTGATTATAGTTGATTATGGTTTGGTTATCATTGGTTATAGCTGGTTGTAGGAATAGGCTGCTCTCTCCTGAGAAGTCAAGCTTTATTTACAACTATATATCAGAATAAGTGAGGAGTGCATATATTTTGAAAAGCATATTTAAAATATCAGTTTCCCTACTATTTTTATTATATAATATAACATACATACAGAATAGTTCAAAAAATACAAATGAAGAACACTTGGAAAATAAACACCAGTCTAACTCCAGTAAAAAAACATAGTATTACCTACCAGTACCCCAGAAATTTCTCACATGCTCTTTTCTTTTTTTGAAATAGTTTTATGGACATGATTTATATACTATAAAATTCACCTGACTTAAGTGTACCATTAAATGGTCTTTAGTATATTTACAGAGTTGTGCAGCTGAGTAGCTATCCCTACAATCTAATTTTAGAATCTTTCCATCACCCCATAAGGAAACCTTGTGCCCATAATCATTCATTTTCCATTTCTTGCCCACAACTCCACCCCTGCCCCTGCAACCACTAGCCTACTTTCTGTCTCTGTGGATTTGCCTATTATGGATGTTTCATACAATGAAATTATATAATATGTGATCTTTTTTGTCTGGCTTCTTTCACTCAGCATATTTTTTTTAGATTTCTCTATGTTGTATAATAACATATATCAGTAATTCATTTCTTTTCATTATCAAATAGTATTTCATTGTATGAATGTACACATTTTATTTATCCAATAGTTGATGGACATTTAGGTTGTTTTCACTTTTCGGCTATTATGAATAATAGCCAAATGAGCATTCATAGACAGATTTTTGTATGGATATTTGCTCTCAGTTCTTTGAGTGGAAACCCAGGAGTAAAACTGCTAGGTTATACAATATAGAAAGTCTATGTTTAACATGTTGGGAATCTACCAAATTGTTTTCAAAAATCCCACCAACATTGTGTATTGGTTCTTGTTTCTCTACAATCTCACCAACACCTATTATTATCTATACTTTTTATTATAAACATCCTACTGGATGTGAAGTGGCATCTAATGGCAGTCGTGAGTTTCTGTCATGACTAATAATGGTTGGCTTCTATTCATGTGTATTACTGACCATTTATATATCTTCTTTGGAGAAATGTCTACTCAAACTCTTTGATCATTTTTTAATTGGGTTGTTTTCTTATTGAGTTTTAATGTTTTTTATATTTTCTTAATACAGGTCCTTATAGATATATAATTTGCACATATTTTCTCTCAGCTTGTGTTATCTTCACCTTCTTGATGGTATCATTTGAAGTGGAAATGAATTTTGATGAAGTCAAATTTATCAGGTTTTTTTTTTTTTGCACGTAATTTTGGTGTTGCATTTATAAAATCAATGCCTGACCCAAGGTCACAAAGATTTATTCCTATTTTTAAAAATATAAGTGAGCCAAAGATGTCCTCTGTGTCTGGGCCCCTGGGTTGTTTATTTCTTCGCAGCAGGTGAGACCCATTAGCTCAAAAGCTGGCAGCACCAACCTTAAAATTGTACACATTCAATTATTTTAAACATAACCCTAATAAGCAGAGTTTTAGTCATTTAGAGCCTGCTCTGCATATCCTATGAAACTGCCCCACATCTACCAGCCATAGATAAGATAAGTACCGGTGTTATAAAGACCCCAAACTGCTGCTGCCCTTTGAGTTCTCTGACCCAGAGACTCCTGCTGTGCTGCTGAGTGCCATCACCCAGATACTAAGCCACCTTTCCTATCCTCTCCCCTGGAAGTTCCCTTGCTCTTCTCCCCCTCCAAACAATGGCCCCCTAAGCCTCTGGGCGGTCTTAAGATGTGAAGGGCTTCCTCTTCCAGTATACCTGTTAAGCAGCACCCTAATAAAGCTTATGCATGTTACTGCCAACCCATGGTCCTATTGTTTTCTTTGATTGATCCAGAAATCCTTTTTTTTTTTTTTTTTTTTTGAGACAGAGTCTCGCTTTGTTGTCCAGGCTAGAGTGAGTGCCGTGGCGTCAGCCTAGCTCACAGCAACCTCAAACTCCTGGGCTCAAGCGATCCTCCTGCCTCAGCCTCCCGAGTAGCTGGGACTACAGGCATGCGCCACCATGCCCGGCTAATTTTTTTTTTATATATATATCAGTTGGCCAATTGATTTCTTTCTATTTATAGTAGAGACGGGGGTCTCGCTCTTGCTCAGGCTGGTTTTGAACTCCTGACCTTGAGCAATCCGCCCGCCTCGGCCTCCCAGAGTGCTAGGATTACAGGCGTGAGCCACCGCGCCCGGCCTGATCCAGAAATCCTTGACCTCACTCCCTGCAGTTTTCTTCTTAAAAAGTTTTATTGTTTTAGCTATTATATTTAGGTCTATGATTCATCTTGACTTAATTTTTGTATGTGGTGTGGGGTAGGGTACATCATGTTGCATGTGGCAATTTAGTTGTCCCAGCACAATTTGTTGAAAAGATTATTCTTTCTCCCATTGAATGGTTTCGACACCCTTGTTGAAAGCACAGACCATACACACATGGGCTTATTTCTGGACTCTCAATTCTATTCCATTGATCTATATGTTTATCTTAATGCCAGTACTATACTGTCTTTATTATGGTAATTTTTTTGTAGTGAGCTTTAAAATTTACAGTGTGAGTCCTACAACTTTTTTCTTTTTCAATATTGCTTTGACCATC